TAGCGTTTGTTTTAGCGTGATTGTTGAAAATCTTTTTGGTTTATTATAAATGTTCAAAAACGTAGGACAGTCTTCCTCGATGTTTGCTGAAACAGTTTTGAGTACTAACAGATGAGGATGCGTATAAATACTCAACACAAACATTAGAGTGCTTATGCGTATTTCCTGGGGTAAGGAATCTTCTTTATTTCATTGGAAATTTACTATTCTCTGTGTTCATTGACTAATCGGTTTTTTCAGAGACTATAATTGATGAAGGTTAGTATTTGTAGGGTCAGTTATAGCCATTCAGTCCGTTAGTGGATAATTTCATTAGTGCCACAGTCGTAGTAAGAAAATTTTAGAAGCTTCAACGATGCAGTACTGTAACCTACAGCCAAAAAGTGTTAATAAGGACCCTTGAATCGTTATGATAATTAATTCGTTCCTGAAGCACAATAAGACTTGTTAATCTATTCCTACTAATGCCACCCTACATTATAACCCAACCAACAATGAAACGATCATATCCAACGACATTGCTGTGAGCATATTGTACACCCGTGGCCCTATAGACATTAACTTAATATTAGTAGCAACATGAAACATTGAACTCTTCTTTAAAAACCACAAGCGACCAATAAAACAGCAATTCAGCAAATGATCAAATCTGAAGGTGAAATCAGAGTATACTGTCTTTCAATGGCGTGTAGCACTCGCATATTGCATCGAAATAGTGGTGTAACCTCACAACAGTACACCTGAAACTTACCCATAACTAATTGTATTCCGATTTTTCAATTTGCTTTCAAGTATCGTTTTAAGGCACTATTACATGTTCGTCACTTTACTTTTTGTGTTGTATATATATATATTTAACCACCCCTAACAGTATATTTTGCTATGTTTTATTGTTATGAAAAATAACGTTGTGCATACTTCTAATGAATAGGATTATACAGGCAAAGGCGAAAGGGGAATATTTCTAGTTTTGGATGAAACATACATTTTTATTAGGGATGCACGGGTACCCAGCCAGATATTCGGCCCCGGCCGGGTATTGGGCTATCTTGTAATACTGGGCTCCTTCCGAGCAACAAAGACTGTCCGCTCGCTACAAATCGGGGATTCAGAGAACAATAGGGGTTACTAACAGGCATGGCTTGAGAAGTGGATTTCTGGGGAAGGTGGGGTTTTTGAGAACAATAGGGGTTAAGGTTTGAAAAGATGGGGCTAAGCATTGAAAGTTGAAAGTAAAACTCGAATGTCCTGTTGGTGATTATTCGGTTAAATGTAATAAACGTCAAATTAGTTCGTTTTTCTAATTTTTGTGTATGCTGTTGTTGTTGTTTTTTGGGGGGGCAGGGGCGAGGGAGAACTTGGCCCCGCCAGAAGGTTTCTGACCGAGTACCCGGACCCGGTATTCGGCCAAATTTTACTACCCGTGCATAGATTGAAAATACTATTAGCACATCAAGGGTCTGAAAGACCCCAAGACAAGATTTCCCTGTGTATTAGGTCGTCAAGAAATTAATGTCGCGTGTTGAAACACTTTCATTACCTCCCTCCCCTCCCAGAAAAAAATACGTACATCACGTATAATAGTGTTACGTCTCCGTTTCGTTGATTAACTTTCCGTATCTTCGTTCCGACGAAATTTTAGCGACACAAGTCCTTACTTAATAAAACTGGTTTATTCTTTCTGAATATAACTTTACCAACACACTTGTGGCTATCTGTGCTCTGCCCACCACGGGTATCGAAACCCGGTTTCTGGCGTTGTAAGTCCGCAGACATACCGCTGTGCCACTGGGGGGTATTGTGTAGCTTTGTGCATAAATTTAAACAAACAAAACCTTCGGAAGGCATCAGTAAGAAGTAGCCTAACTATAAAATAACTGAGTGAATACACTGACAGTTTTTTCGCTATTCGTTTAATCTCTATTTTTACTCCGGCTTGGCAACAAAATATAACGTTACAATAAGCCACTTGAGGTGTTTAAAAAAATCTGATAGAATTGCACAATCAAATGCATTTCCATATGGCAATCGTCAGTTTGAACCTGTTTACACGCGGACTTTGGAGACGTCATTAAAAGAAAACTTTTCACGCCTACGACATAAATGGCGTAAAACTTTCTGATTGTAAACTCGCGAAACGGTATGTTATACGTAACAAAAGTTTCTTAATTTACCCACTATGTGACTCTTCAAGTTGAAAATATAAATAATGTAATTTATTTACTGTATTTTCATCTTCTATTGAAACTCGAGAAGTCTTGGTGCAAAAATACAGCTTAACACCAGGTTAAGAAACTTGGGTTAATTTTATGACTTGAGATTAACTAATTAGGACTCTTCTTAGTTTTATGTTGTGGTAATAGCTGGAGAAGCAGGGAAACCAAGAGGCCTAATACTAATGATAAAAAAGCACACTAGAAAACAGATGTGGAATGTGTAAAAGACAAAACATTAAAAATCTGAAGCCTAGTGTGATTTTTATCACCAATATTCGGCCTCTTTGATTTTAAAATTTTGCTTTCAAATAATTCTTAAAGGTTTGTTTGTTTGTTTTGAATTTCGCGCAAAGCTACACGAGGGTTTGTTTGTTTTTTAATTTTGCACAGAGCTACACAAGGGCTGTCTGTGCTCTGCCCACCACGGGTATCGAAACCCGGTTCCTAGCGTTGTAAGTCCACAGACATACCGCTGTGCCACTGGGGGGCGCATATTAGGATAGTTTGTTTGTTTTTTGAATTTCGCGCAAAGCTACACGAGGGCTATCTGCGTCTAGCCGTCCCTAATTCACAGTGTAAGATTAGAG